TGTGCGCGGCGCAAAGGCCAGAGCCTTGATCTTGCAAACGCCCTTGTTGCAAATTTGTATGGCGAATCAGCACGGTGTTGAAACCAGCCCCCCATTTTGAAAGCGACATGCGCTCCATGTTTGAAGCCGCTGTAAACGTTCAGGACGAATGTGCGCGGCGCCAAGGCGAGAGCGTCTTGGAAAAATGGCCCTCCCCTCCATCCGAGACTGTCGCAAACTTCTAACACGGATGCGCGCGGCACTGAGGCGAGAGTCCCGTTTTGAAAACGATCCCCTCCAGCCCCGCAGTTGCTGCAAGCTTCAAATTTCCGGATTATAATGGTGAGGAGTTCTCAGGGGAAACGCCTGGCCTGCACTGCCGACACGTCCGCGGGTGCGACAGGGAGGAGTTACTAACAAGGGGAAGGGGTGGAGGAGAATGGGGATGATGGGGGACTAGTGGGGCATTGGTGGTGGGAGGCGGGTCGTGGGAGGAGGAAGGACGGGGGGGGGAGGAAGAGACAAAGCGGGAGGACTCCACGCACAGCCTCCGCGCAAATGCGCCTGCGGCCAGCGAGTACTTGGAAGCACCTCTGGCGTTCGGACGCGATCGAGCCAGTCGACACCGCCCCGCGCCAGCGCCGCCCCCCAGGACACGACCGCGCACAGGGCGAGGGGGGCGGCCGGGTGCGAACGAAACGGCCGCCGGTCGCCGCGAACCCCGCGCACGCAGGCAGAAGATACTCGCGCGTCGCGCACCGCGGGGCGCGACGCGCGAAGTCGGGTGACCTTCTCCTCCTCCTCCTCCTCCTCCTCCTCCTCCACCACCTCCTCCTCCACCTCCTCCTCCTCCTCCTCCTCCTGCCCGCGAGCAGGGGGCCAGGATTACGATGGCCTTCGCACCTTGGCATCCCTCGGAGGTGTGCGCGTCTCTCGCCGCCGGGCCCTCGAGGAGCAACCCTCGGCCACCCTGCGCGCAAAAAAAACGCGCACGACACCGAGGCACGCACGGCGGGGGGACGTCCGAGCGGACCGCAGGTGCCACCGGCGCGCCCTCACGGCGGCGCGGCGCGCCAGGGGCCGACGCCCGGGCAGGTGCCGGGCCGCGACGCAGCGGCACCCCCTTCGGCCACGAGGAGAGGGGGGCGCTGGGCCTCCCGGGCGGGGTCGCAGCAGATTACTATTATTATTAGTATTATTGCTATTATTATTTTACTATTATTATTGTTATTGTTATTATTATTATGATTATTATTTTTATTTTTATTAATATTATTATTATTAATATTATTACTACTGCGTTTATGATTATTATTCTTATTATTTTATCAGTTTTTTATTTTATTTTTATTCTTATTACTATTATGATTATGGTTACTATTTTTATTATTAGCATCATGATTAGTATTATTATTATGATGATTATTCGCATTATTATTGTTATTATTATTTTTTATTATTGTTATGATTATGATTAGTATCAATATTGTGATTATTATTAGTAGTATTATTATTATGATTATTATTGTATATATATAATACAAAAAAAGCAGTGGCGACGCGTCCTGGCTCGCCTGTAGCCCCACCGAACAATGTTCTAAGAACTTTTTTTGTGGTTTCCACGAAGTGTTCTTGGAACACTTCTGGCGGAGTCTGTCTTGCTTTCTTGTTTTATCACATCGGGTTCATGTTCTAAGAACATTGTTTTGGTTATTAGAACATGTTTGGGTTCTAAAAACATTTCGTGGTAGGACTACAGGAATGCCGGGACGGTTGGTCCCTCCTCGAACATTTCAAACAAAACAATCACAGAAGAAGTAGTAATACAGGTTTTGAATAAACAATTATATACTAAAAACATGGGGTCGGAGCAGATGGGGTCGGAGGATCGCGCCGTGTCGCTGACTCGTCGGCGATGCGGCTCGATGCGGGGCCTAATTTCCTCCCCGCCGACGTCGCCGACGCGACGCCGACGCTGGCGATGCATCGCCGATGCGGCGCGATCCTCCGACCCCATCTAGGAGGCCTCTAGGGGCAGGGGAAGGGGGGAAGGCTTCTGGGAAGCGCCCCTGCTTCTTAGTAGGCGCGGGCCTTGTCTGCCGGTGCAGGGCCAGCTCCTTCTGAGAAGCGGTCTCCTCCTGAGAAGCCTTCCCCCCTCCCCCTTACAGTGGGAACACGTGCCAAGACGCACCCTGCTTGCCTCCAGGTTGTCCTGGGTTTCTTGGGTCTCGATGGTCCTGCTGTGGAGAGCGCGACGTTCCCGCGCCAGAAATCCATGGACGTCCTGGGCCCCAGGGCGTCCATGGATTTTGACCCCGGGCCCCGGGCCCTGGACGCCCTGGGCTCTTCCACGAGAAGCCCAACCCTGAGACCCCAGGGCCTGGGGTCTCCGGGTTGGGCTTCTCGTGGAAGGCCTCTTTGGTGGTCGAGCTCCTGCTGTGCCCCCTCTGTGCGTGCCGCCGCCCCCGCCCCGGCCTGGGCGGACTGCGGACGCGCGCCTCCTTCCCCGCACCGCCGCCCGCGCGGGCACACGGCGCGCACCGAGAGCACGCGGAAGGCGCGCGCCAGAGGGCCCGGGGACTCCTCGGCCCGTCCCCCACAATTGGTGCCTTCCCTCGTGCCCGGCGCGGGCTCGGCGCGGGCTCGGCGTGGATCCGGCGCGGATGCGACACGGACTCGGCACGGAGCCGACGAGTCCGACGCGGATTCGGCACGGGCTCGACGCGGACAGGACCGCGACAGGAGAGGCAGGGTCCCTCTGAGGATGCCGCACGAGGCCGGCGCTTGCCGAGCTGCCACGAGGCCCCGAAGGGCTGGAGCCGCCCGAAGTGGTTGCCGCGAGCTTGCTGAGTATTTCGAGGCCTCCTGGTTGGGGTCGGAGCATATAGTCGCGGGTGGGCAGAACCCCCACCCTGACACGTCGACTGGTGAATCGTCCGTTTTCAATTCTCGAGAGGGCGCCGCGGCCGTCATTTTCCAGGCGTGTGCCCGCCAGGTTTGGGCCCCTGGGCGTTTTCACTAAACCACGTTTTACCAGGGGCCTTCTGTCCATCCCCGATATGGGGTCGGAGGATCGCGCCGCATCGCCGATGCCTCAGCGATGCGGCGCGATGCGGAGCCCGATTTTCTCCATGCCGACGTCGCCGGTACATCGCCGACGTTGCCGTTGCATCGTCGATGCATCACCGATGCATCGGCGATGCGGCGCGATCCTCCGACCACATCTACTCGGACCCCATCTAGGAGGCCTCTATACGTTCTAGGTCGCAAGCCCTGGTGGATCGATGGGTCGTGAGGGATCATGGGCGAGGAAGTCGGCGAAGAAGAGACAACCACAACCGCTGTGGCTGAGGGAATCGTCCCTGGCGCTCCTCCCCCCAAGGCCGACCACGATGCCCCATTTGTGCTGACCTGCGCGCGGCACTCGAAGTAGGGCACCGCATGCAGGTCATCACCGCGGGGGGTTCGGGGTTGGCCTCGGGGCGGGGCGCCAGGGGCAGTTCCCTCAGTCCAGCGGTTCTGGTTGTTTCTTCGCTTCTGAGAGGAGCCACGCAGCCTCCGACTGAGTAGCTGCGCCTGCCGCGGTGAAGCGGTCCGAAGCGCCGCTGGCACTGGAGCGCGGTCGAGCCGGTCGATACGGCCCAACTGCCGTGGATGTGCTTGCCTGCGTGCGCCGAGGACGGGAGGCAGGAGTTTCCTGGGGAGGATGAGGGAATGGGCAATTAGGATGAAGTCGGGCATGTCCCTTTACATGAGGACTACTAACAAACAGTCAAAAAATACTCTGGGGACGAGTTTTCGATGATTTGTTGACCACTCTTGGTTCTTTTTGGGCTACTATCAATTCTTGCTCCGAAATCTGCCTATAGGGGGACATGCCCGACCCAAAGTGAGGAGGACGGGGGAGGGGTGAGGGAGCGTGGAGGAGTGAAGAGAGGACGGCGGGCGAGGAGGGAGAGGAGGAGCGACGAGGAGATGAGGGGGGAGGTGCGGGAGAGAGGGAGGGGGGAGGGGGGCGAGGGCAGACGCAGGATGGGGAGCGACGAGGCCCAGGGGGAGGACGGGCGGCTTGCAGTGAAGAGGCGCCGAAAGCCGGAACACGTCGGCTTCGGGGGGGGGGGGGCTCTGGCTTCCTGTCGGGCCTGTCCCCCCTACAGGCGGATTTTGGATGAAAAATAGAAATGCCCCCCAACTGCCCAAGAATGCAAAACATCGTCCCCTAACTATTTTTTGCTCATTTCTGACTAGTTCCCCCGTAGAGGGCCAGGCCCGACTTCACTCTGGCTCCAGCGCCGCTCCTCAGATCTGGATCGGAGAACTTTGCCGTGGCCGCGGCCTCCCGTGGCCAGGAAAGCCCCTCCGCTGCTTCTTGTTGGCCAGCAAAGCCCCTCCGCAGGGTACTCTTCGACGCGGCCCGCCCTCCTCGACATCGCTCCTGCCCGGCCCGATCCGGTCCGATTCCGACGATCCCGGCGACCCGCTGCGGCCCGATGCCTCTGCAGGGCGCTGCTGCGCACCCTGGGCCCGATTGATCGACTCCGCGCAGGTTCCTATCCGGTCCGATCTCCCGACCCGACGCCGATCCATCCTGGCATGCCAGTCGGGACTGCAAAGGGGGGCCCCGGCCTCCGGCGTCGTGAATGTTTGCTCCCTGCGTGGGCCCCGAGGGACAGGCCTCCTCCGAGCTGGTCTCTGACGGCGCTGGGGCCCGGTGGAGGGCCCCCCTGAAGCAGAGGGTGGGCAAAAGGTGCCCGTCGAGGAGGTGCTCAAGTCGATGGTCCTCAGGACGTGTGTTGGCCTAATGCGTGTCTCTCCCGCTCGCCTCCGCCGAGAGCGCGCCGCCCGGTTCGGCCCGCGGTGCACGGCCCGCGTCGTTTTTTGGAGTGCCTGGGCGGACCAGCACACGTCGGCATGAGCACACCCTCTGAAGGTCATCCATGAAAACGAGAGGAGCCTGCTGGACGTCGTCGTCGTCGTCTTCGTCGTTGGCGCGCCGGATGGGGGCCGGGGTCCCCCGCGAGGCGAGCGGGCAGGCCGCGGCGCCCGCGCCGCGGCCGCGGGAGGCAGCCAGCTTGGAGGGCCCGGTGGACGTCAGCCTGGAGGACCCCAGCAGGGTCCTCCTTCCTTCTCCTTCTCCTTCTCCTCCTCCTCCTCCTCCTCCTCCTCCTCCTCCTCCTCCTCCTCCTCCTCCTCCTCCTCCTCCTCCTCTCGATCGGACATTCGTTCCCTCCGCAGGCGTTTCTTAGATTCCAGCAGCTTGGCTGCCCCGTTGAGTGCAAGAATTTGAAGGTGGTCTCCTGGGCCACGATGCTGCAAGCGGCGATCCGCTGTGACTCCTTCGTGGTGCTGAGGGAAAACGAAGAACGCTATTGAGGGCGACAATTGTAACAGAGCGTAGAACCAGCATGGATATCTGAATGGTTCAGTAATTTACAACATGTACTGTCTGTATGAATTGTTGTGTACAGTTAAGAACATGGGCGAGCTCCCGTACTCCAAAAGTCAGCCGGCGATATTCAAAAATTGAAAGAACTTGAAGATGATACATTCAATTGCGTTTGTGACGTTCTAGCTTCTCGTCTGGTTCAGATGCTCGGTCCGCTTGCTCATGATGCCATCGATATTACTGTCCTTCGTATCCGTGGTATGCAAATGCGTAAGTTCCCGACGCTCATCAAATAAATCTTCAACGCTTGGAATACTACCCGTCGCTACCGACAGCAACAATATCATTATGTGTGTGGATGTGGTGCCCGATCGTTTGATGCCATGGAACACTATGATATGCCTTGCATTGGTCCCCAGAGTGGGACAACTTCTTCGTTATCTTCCCCTGAGTTTGGGCACGAATGCGCACAATGTCATTGTCCCTCATTTGTTTGACTTGACCTCTCGTCCAGATGTCGCTGGTGCCCCCGCTCCTCCGCCGTCGGTTTCCCTCCTGTCTCATGCGGTCGCTATCGACGCAATCCACTATGTGTTTTCCGCCTTCAGGTGTCATCCCAGCTTCCCCCACAGGTCGGAAGAGCTTCTTCTAGCGCTTATAAGGCGCGCGGCGCGGATGTCGAGGCTCTTCCGTGCTCTCTGTAGTTCGTCTTCTGGTTTCCGTTCCGTCGTGTGCGTTCACCCTTTTCCGCCCTTCTTCCTGCTGTCGGGCTCTCCCCTGGCTCTGTGGGTCTCTGGAGGCAGCGGTGGGGCTTCAGTAGTGCGGCGGCGCCGTCGGCGGATGATTGCGCCCTCTCAGGGGTGCCACTCCTCTCGATCGGGTCGGTGCGACATTGGTCATCATCTTTTACCCGACCCCCATCCGGAAGCGATCCGATTCGATTTCAGTCGTGCGACGATCCAGCGGGGCTTGCTGCACGAGTGGCGCTGCCGTGCGTCCTGGCGCGGCCGATCCTATTCCATTCTGGTTCCGTACCGATGCGGGCCCGAGTTGACGCGCCCCCCCGACGCGATCCAATACACCGATTGGACGTTGAACGTTCTTGCCGCCGCAGCCTGGAAGAATATTATTTCAAGGTTCAAGGTGTTCGGACATTGTTGTACGTTCCCGGGTACTCGTCCAGCCTCTGGATGGTATCCAGTAGTTGCGCTTCGTCGAGAGTGTTCCTGAGCGGTCGCTGGAGACCCGAGACATGACCCAAAGGCCAGACATGATGTCATAAGAACGTCAGTTGATTGTTGACAATGTTCGGCCTCTCGGGGCCGGTACCAGACCTAAGAACGGTGAAACAATAAATTAGGGTTGGTCCCGGAAGAGAAGGACTCTCGACATCCAGGAGTCCACATTGCGAACACAAGTGCGAGTCGGAGATGTGGTTTGTTGCCTATTCGATCGAGGATCTACGTATGTTTGAATTGAACATTTTCGGCTCTTGTCTGGCCTCCAGTGACCTCCAGGAATCCCCACGGCGCCTTTTATGACACCCGAGCGACGTAGGAAACATGTGCATTGGGTGTTCCCCCGCCCCCCTGCCTTGTCGGGTCCCCAGATTTAATGCGCAGCGCCGCGCCCCTCCCTCCTTCCCTCTCCCTCGCCTCCCCCCTGTCCTTCCTGCCGCTCCTCCTCTGCCCCGCCGCGACCCCCCCGCGCTGTTCCTATTTTTCCCCGCAGGGCGCCTCTGACGCGGATCGTGCCCCACAGGGCGCTTCGCCTGCGGCCCCCCTCGGGGCACGACCGCACACGGCACCGCCGCCCATTCGGCGCGCATGCCTCACGCGGATCGCGCCCCCATCGGGAGTTCCACCGATCGCCCAAATGATTGAGGCCGCGTGCGTTACCACCGCCGATTTCTGCACACCTCTCGCGAGGATCGCACCTCGCAGGGAACTCAACCCACGGCCCCAGCATGCGCGACCGTGCGCGAATGCGTTCAGGGCCCGCCTCCCCTTCGGCGCACCGTCCCGCTGATCGTGCCACACAGGGAGTGCCACTTGCGGTTCCGGTGGTGGCGTCCGCATGCGGTCCCTTTTCCTCCTCCTCCTCCTCCTCCTCCTCCTCCTCCTCCTCCGCCTCCTCCTCTACCCCCCTCCTCCTCCTCCTCCTCCTCTTCCTCCTCCCCCTCTTCCTCCTCTTCCTCCTCCTCCTCCTCCTCCTCCTCCTCCTCCTCCTCCTCCTCGTCCTCCTCCTCCTCGTCCTCCCCCGCCAACGTCGGCACACGTCTCACATGGATCGTGGTCCCACGGTTCGCTCCACCTATGGCTCCAGCGGGGGCACCCACGAGCGCCTCTGCGCCACACGCAACCGCATAGGGTCGAGTCCCTCCCCAGGCTGATGATCTGCAGCCGGACCGAAGCAGCAGGTCGAGGTCGGTTCGGGGAGGGGTCCCGTCATGGTCTTCGTGCTTGCTGGACATTCTTGTGCACCCTGGGGAGGGTGACCTTCGGTGTTCTGTGCGTTTCGGCTGGCGGAGGGTCTCATGTTCTTAAAGGCTGTTTTTTTGGCCAATGTCCGACTGCGCTTGAAATGTTTCAGAGGGGTCTTTCAGGGTCCTGGGGGGGGGGGGTCGGGACCGCATCCAACAGCTAGGTATGTATCGCCCCGACAATGGTCTCGATACTGAGCCCCCGATGCGCCTTCTGTGGACCACGGCAGGCCATTTTATCCTCGCACATCCAGGGGAGAGGGACCATATCCAGGGGAGGAGGAGGAGGAGGAGGAGGAGGAGGAGGAGGAGGAGGAGAAGGAGGAGGACCAGTGTAAACCCACGACTCGTCAACGATGGTGAAATACACATTCCTCCAAGATCGCTCTTCATAGGCCCCTTACAAAGGGTCATTTCCACTAAGGGAATTGCCTCGTTGGGGGACAGCCGTGTGAACATCTTGAAGCGTACCAAACACCAGTCTCGAGATTTCAATGCCACAAATTAACTTGACTGGTCCGTCTTGGCGATCCTGCTTCGGGCCAGAACACCATTCTTGGGACTTCAACATTGCGAATCAACGTACGTAACTGTTGCGCCCTGACAACCCTGATTCGCTCCACAACATGAATTATGGAACGTTAACCGTTGACCGTGAACCTGTTGAACTGCTGCATATGTTTAAAATGCACGCGGCACGAAGGGGAGAGCCACATTTGGAAGAGGAGCCGCCCTCGATCCGTAAAACCCTTGCAAGTGTTCAAAACGAGCGTGCGCGGCGCTCCGATGAAAGCCACATGGCGATAACCGACCGCATTCAACGTGTGAAGCTCTTGCGAATAGTTGCAGCGAGCGTGCGCAGTGCTCCGGCGACAGCCACACGCTGAAGACTGACCACCATCAGTCCGTGAAGCTCTGAGGGCTTCATGCTGAAAACCACCCGCCCTCCTGCGAAGCCGCTGCCAAGTGTGTTCAGCAGCAGGGGCGTGCGTGGTGAGGAAAGCCTCGGGCGGAGCGCCCGGCCCGCCCTTTTTCGACCAGCCTCGGGACGCGGCGGTGAGGAGTCATCTATATGGAAAGGGAGTTGAGGAGGAGGAGGAGGAGGAGGAGGAGGAGGAGGAGGAGGAGGTGTTGGAACTCTGCTGGCTGTCGCCTCTGGGGGGCATGGGAGGGCCTCCTGCGCCACGGCCAGCGTCGCCACGGAAGCCTGCAGCCACCGCGCGCTCCAGGACAGGTCCGAGGGGAGGTTGCTTTCAGGGGGGGGCTCGGACCCGGGAGTCGCGAGCACGTCACGACTCGCATTCCCGATCCTTCTCGGCGTGACCCTCGCGGACTGGTCTGGCCCGACGGGCACTGCCGAAAGACGGGGTGTCGAGAGCGACGCCCGATCCCCGGGGCTCGCCCCTGCCGGGGCGCGTAGCCAGGACGCTCAAGCAGGGACCCCACCTGGGGCTCGGGACGGGGGCCTGGTCTTCGGGTCGTTCCAGGTCGGAGGGCCCCTGTATGTGGCCGATGCTCGCCGTGGCCAGAAGGAGGCCCTGTGCTCCTTACCTGGGGGTGCCCCATGGGAGCACGAGGACCGTGCGCGCCCAGGCAGGCGCGGGCGGGATCCCACGGGGTCGCCCACGGGCTCCCGTGATGTCGGGCCTGTCCCCCTTACAGGGGGTTTTCGATGAACAAAAAAAAAAGATACCCCCAAATGCCCCCAGAAGGTCAAAAGTTACTCAAAAAATAGTCCCCATACTATTTTTGGATTATTTGTTTACCAGTTTGGGGGTATGTTTCATTTTTTGTCGAACATCCCCCTGTAGGGGACAGGCCCGACGTAAGGCTCCTGCCGAATGGCGGGAGTGCCCTTTCTGCGAGTGCGCGTGCTGCGCCGTTTGCTGCAGGGCCCCGCGGGCGGGAGGAGTAGCCCCCCTGCCGACGGTTTTCGGCGGGAGGACCCCCCCGCCCGACGCGCGGTTGGCCCCGGGCTCGGCTCGCAGAGCACCTCGCTCGGGAAGCGAAGCTGTGGTGCCGGGGGAGGCGGCGCGGCGCGTGTCCTGCTTCTGCCGCTCGTCGCCCTGGTGGCGTGCGTCCCAGAAGAGAGAGTTGAGGACGGGGGCGGGACATCGTGACGGGAGTCGTGGCATCCTCCCCCGATGCCATGGTTCCCTCTTCTTCTCGCCTTTATCGGTTGCGTCCGTCCGACTCGTAGTAGCAGTGCGTTCCGCTTTGCCGTTATCCATATATTCAGCGCGTGCCCCCCCATTTCCGCCCTCGCAGGTGGCCTCGGGCCACGATGCGGCAGCCCTCTCCCCTCTTCAGGACCTGCCCCCCCCCCTTCGGCGCACCCGATGCTCCTCTCACACGGCGGGGGGAGCTCGTGAGTTTGGCCCCGTGCAGGAGCTCGCCCGGCTCCGAGGAGCGGACGGCGGCCGTGTCGCGCTCGGCTTCGGCGGCAGGGTCTTCGACGTCTCCACGGCGCGCGAGCTGTTCGGGCCCTGCGGTCGGTACGCCGCACTCGCAGGCAGAGACGTCACGCGCTGCCTGGGGGAGATGTGTCTGGACGCCGAGTGGCTGGGCGACGTCGGGTGGGAGCCTGACAACAGCCCGGCAGCGAGCGAGGGGGCGGCAGTGAAAAGGATAATGCCTTCGCAAAAGGTTCGGAAGCCCCCAGGCCTTCTGAGAAGTGTTCTGAACCTTCCCCGAAGATCCAGATAACTTCTCGGAAGGCCAGAGGGCTTCTGAGAAGCCTCGCCGCCATTTGAGAGGGCCTAATCCTTCTCCATTCCCCCCTTTGCTCGCCGCCGAAGCAGCGAGGAGGAGAGGCAGCTGGCGGAGTGGAACGGGCTTCTGATGGCGAGGTACCCTGTGACGGGCAGCCTCGGAATCCAGTGCAAGCGTACGGCATCCCTAGCGAGCGACGCCCCACTAGAGCAGGGCATCCCTGCGCGAGTGGTGACGCCGCCTTTTGCAACATCTGCAGAAGAAGACGCGCGACCTGTTCTGCTCAGTGCGGCCTCGGCGAGCCAGACGAAGAAGCACGCAGCGACGCAGGTTTGGGCGAGGATGGGAGAGAGAGAGAGAGAGAGGGAGAAGCAGCAGTGGGTGTGAGAGGAGGAGGAGGAGGAGGAGGAGGAGGAGGAGGAGGAGGAGGAGGAGGAGGAGGAGCAGCAGGAGGAAGGAGAATGAGGGCGAGTCAGCCCTGGGATGCTCAGTCAAGGCGGATTCCGGCTTCATGGCCGGCAAGAGCTTGATCTCCGTCGTGGAGAAGCAGAGGCGGCAGAAGGCATTGAGAGGCCCGAGGCCACAGAAATATTGGGTCCAGAAGAGGGAGTGGGATAAGGAGGATCAGAAGGAGGAGGAGGAGGAGGAGGAGGGTCAGAAGGAGGAGGAGGAGGAAGAGGAGGAGGAGGAGGAGGAATATCGGGAGGAGGAGCATGATCAGGAGGAGGACGAGGAGGAGGAGGAGGAGGAGGAGGAGGAGGAGGAGGAGGGAGAACGAGGAGGAGGAGGAGGAGGAGAAGGTCCAGGAGAGGGAGGTGCGAGAAGGCACTCTGGGGCCTGATGCCGCAGCAGCACGGGTCGTGAAAAGAGCGTTGGCAAGGTAGGCGTCTTCTGCCTCTGGCGCGACCCCGAGAAGCGGACAACCTCCGCGCACCTTCCCACCCCATTGGACCACACGGAAGGCGGAAGGAAGTGTTAAGACATGTCAGTTGGGGACATGTGGAGCCAACGTGAGACACATGGTGGTGCGCTTGGCGGTGGCGCACGCGTGAAGCAGATGTGACATGTCTCGACTGCGCACGGTGCAGGTTGTGCGTTCCCCTTGGGATCCAACCTTCTCGTCTGCCGCTGGCCGTGCGCAGCATGCTGTCGTGGATCCCTGCCCCGCTTCCCAGGAGGGCTCAGTGACTCCCTGATGGCCAGGATGTGCCCGCTTCACGCAGACGATGCCACCAAGAAGCTCGTCGCCGTGAAAGCGGCCATCTCGTGCATCAGTGGCGCGGTGAGCCTGCATCGGCAGCTGAACGCTTTGCCGTGAGGCTGCGGGCTCGCTCCCGTCCGCAATGCCATCCGAAGGGCTGCGCCCGCTGCCGCTGGTCTTCAGTCCGGCCTGTCCCTCCACAGGAGGCATGTTCAAAACTACTAGACTTTTTGACTATTTTTAATTTTTCTTCGAGCATCGGCCTGTAGGGGGACAGGCCCGACTTAACGCTGGTCTCCCGGGCCGAGCCACGCCAGAGCCGGCCTCGCAGGAGGGCTCGGGGAGCACGTGCACCGAACGAGGAGCGCAGTTTGGGCCCCATGCGCCGGAGGGGGCCTGGCTTGGCTCTTGTTCCGCAAGGGGCGGAACTACCGTAAAATTCACCAGGAGAGGAGGAGGAGGAGGAGGAGGAGGAGGAGGAGGAGGAGGAGGAGGAGGAGGAGGGAAAAGGAGGAGGAGGAGGAGGAGGAGGAGAGGAGAACGGAGGAGGAGGAGGAGGAGGAGGAGGAGGAGTAGAAGGAAGAGGAGGAGGAGGAGGAGGAGAAAAAAGGAGGAGGAGGAGAAGGAGGAGGAGGAGGAGGAGGAGGAGGAGGAGGAGGAGGAGGAGGAGCAGCACCACCAGCCAGGGGGGGGGCTGTCCCACCCTCTCGAGCTGGTGGCACACCGTTCCTGGAGTTCCCGGAAAGGGGGTGCCACCAGCTCGAAGGGAGGGAGCGGCCAACCCTTTAGCTACTTTGGTCTCATGAAACTAGCAAGGGGCATACATACCAATCGCTGCAAGCGCGGCGGCGGAGCACTTCCTGTTTCTGATGCGCCCGTCACGCCTTCTCCGCTGCCCTTACGGCGGTTCTCGCATCCCTTCTTGCATGCGATGGCCGATACGCCCCGGCCCCACAGGTCCTCGAGCTGCGTACACATTGCATGCGGGGTGACGCCGTCCGAGCGATATCCGACACGCTCCCCGGAGAGTGGACAGGCGGGCATGCATCATGGCATCCAAATCGTTGTTCGTGTACAGTCTTCCAGTAGGGGATCGGCTACAGAATTGAGTTGCCCCATAATTGCATTTCTCGCCGAATATTTAAATACATACGTGTCACGTTCGTAGATCTACGAGAAGTATACCTTCTACTTTGTAGATTCGACGAACATTCTCATCAGGGGATACATCAATGTTGTAGCCGATCTCCTACTCGAAGTCTAAGGTCCTGGGTTACCCGGAGGGGCGCCGAGCCTCGCGCCTCGCGGCCTGACCCAGAGCGCTCCCGTGTCCGGGGGGGGGGGGGCCTCGCGAGGGAGCGCGAAGCGAGCTGACCCACGCAGTCCGTGGGAGTCTGGGCATCGTTCGGACGTGGGCATTTCTCCTCGGCGAGAGCCACCGGGGAGCACCCTGGATCATCGAGCATCACAAGAAACACGCGCGGAACAGAAAACTGCACGGGGAATGGACGTCCGAACGAGGGCAAGGAGTGGGCAAGCGGTCGCGCCACAATCATGGCATGAGGGGCCGGCAGGACGTGCTGGATGGGTTGCGGGATTCGCTATGAAGCACGCGGGACCTGGAGGGAAACGGGTCCTGAAGGAAATTGCCCTTCCCTGGGCGACACGATTCAGGACGAACATCGTGCCACTGGGGAAGGTCCTCAGGGTCCAGGATTAAGTCGGGCCTGTCCCTCTACAGGAGGACTATTCAAAGATAATATTGATTGTCTGGGGAAGATTTTTTGAATATCTGTCGACCATTTTGGAGTATTTTTTGGCTATCTTCAAATCCTCCTGGAGGACAGGCCCGACTTAAACCCAGGACCCCTTTCCCTCGGGGCCCACTTCTGTCGCGCCAGAGAATTGTAGTACGCGCAACCAGCTCCGTGTTGGCGCGCCTGTCTCGCATCCCGTCCGCCTCTCCGCGGGTCACCGTCTTGCCCATCCTGTGCTGTTGATGTTTTTAAAGGCCGAACGGACGGCCGCTGCGGACAGGCGGCGTTACGACCGAGTATGCGCGCGATCCGCACCATGTCCGGTCGCTCGTCGGCAGTCTTCGGGGGTGAGGGCGAGGTTGGGCGGGAGCAGGTGGAGGAGATGGAATCTGACCCTTGCGCCGTCTCTGATACCACTTCTTGGAAGAGACGCGGGACACTGTCTCGCTGTGTCCAGTACGCCTCGTGGATAAATTCAGCGTTCGTTGCGAATGCATGCGCCCAGAGGCTGTGCAACCATCTGGCGGCGCGGACAAGATGGCCGGGCAAGGGGGGCGGTATTCTAAGAATAGTTTGTTTACAAGTCGTTGGGCAGGAATTTTCGATTGCCGATCGTGTTCGAGAAGCCCTCTGCCTTCTTAGAATCTTGGAAGGTCGTCCCTCTCACCCTGGCCCTTGTTGCAACTTACGACGTGTGTGTGTGTGTGTGTGTGTGTGTGTCTGAGTTGATACAGGTCGGTTCTATCAAGCGCGGGTGTAGCTGAGCATTCCGAGCAGCGTTCTCTCACCGTTTAACAGAATGCCTGAGGGTCAGTTTACCATGGATGTCGCGAGATCATTGCTCCGCCGCGGGCCATTGCCTGTCTTGATCCTCCTTCCTTCAGGAGGAACAAAAACACACAGACACAATTAAGCGTCGAACCCCATAAAAATATTGGAAAATATGGGAAGTGGGGGGGAAGACGAAAATCCAGAAAATATGGAAAACAGATTGGGAACCCTCTATTTCTGTCACCTCCTCCTGCCTTCGCCCGCCCCTTCGTCCTTCCCCCCCCTCCCTCCCTTCGCCCGCGTGCCTCGTCCTTCCTCGTACCTCCTCGCTCTCCCTCAGCCAGGGCTGGACCTAAACAGTGTTTTGTCAGTTTCGTGGGCCGTTGTCGTTTCGATTTCGTTTTGCGGTAAAGGCGGATTGAAGACAAAACGAGGGAAAACGAAAACAAAACGAAAACGAAAAACACCGTTTATGTTCAGCCCTGCCCTCAGCCTCGCTGGGACCGACGCACCAGTTCTCCGCCGGCCATCCCGCCAGCCCTCCTCGGCCGTCCGCGCTCGTCCCCGCCGCGGCTGCTGGGGACGCGCGGCGCAGCGATCAGAAATGCGAAGTCTACCACAGCCGTCTTCTTGGCATCGCTCGGACGAGTGCATATTTCTCGGCGAGCACCGTCGGGGATGCATCTTGGACCAGCTTGCTCAAAACTGCGCGCACGCAGTCGAAACATGCACAGGGAATGGACGTCCGAGCGATGGCCAGTCTTCCGAACACAAAGAACGGCACAACCATAGTGAAGTTCACCGAGCTCCGCGCCGATTTCTTGAATCGGCGCTGGCCCTCCTGGCGACGCCTCGGGCGCCGCCCCTCCCCTGCGCCCCGCGCGCCAGGGAGGGGGGCCCGATGCCGATCAGAGACATCCGCGCGGACATCCGAGGTAGGATGTTGATGTTGTTTCCACTGGTTGGTCTGATCTTGCGGGCATGTGATCGAAGGAGGTGGACTGACCTCCATTCGCATGTTCCTCTCCCCTGCACCCGCCCTCGAAGTCAATGCAACAGGCCAGTTGTTTTGCGCATCCTCCCGTGTGTTGGGCTCCCGGTTTGAAAGAGCACTGTGATGGCCATCCTGCCCGTCCTCCTGCCCCTCGTCCCCCGACCCCGTCCTCATGCCTCCTACCTCCTCCCCTCTTCTCCTCATGATCCCTGTCTCACTGCTTCCCGTGCTCGTACCCTTCCTACTGGGGTATTGCGAATTGCGCAGGGGTCGCCAGCTGTCGTGGGCTCCCAGGAGGCACGGCGGAGTGCAGGGCGGCGCAGATCGCTTCGAGACCTCGCGGCTCCCTGGCAGGCTTTGAAGTGCTCATGCGTCGCCATTTTCCATGGGCTCCCGGGAGGCACGGCGGAGTGCAGGGCAGCGCGGATCCTTCCGAGACTTCGCGGCTCCTTGGGGGGCTGTGCGCAGCCGTCGCCGCCGTCGTGGGCTCCTGGGAGGCTCGGCGGAGTGCAGGGCAGCGCAGAGCACTTCGAGACCTCGCGGTTCCTTCGGGAGCTGCGGACTGCGCAAGTGTCGTCATTCTCGGGAGCTCCTGGAATATACCGCGGAGTGCAAGGCGGCGCAGGTCATTTCGAGACCTCGCGGCTCCCTCGGGTGCTGCGGACTGCGCAATCGTCGCCACTCCTCGTGAGCTTTTGGGAGGCAAGGCGGAGTACAGGGCAACGCAGATCTCTCATATCTCCTGTTGTCTTTTGTTTGTATAGAGCGCTCATGCAAATAGTAGCCGTGCGTGGAAAAGGGTCTTGGGTACGTCTCGGGTAGGTTGGACGAATTAGTTTCAGACCAGCTCCTGGGAGAAGCACTCAGCGTAGAGCGCCTTTCATGGAAATGAGAAAGCATCCGACCAGGGCCGATCGGAGTAAGTTGTGAAGAAGTATCGAGCAGGAGCATCGTAGTTCATAGTTTGGCGCTCGCCAATTCGATTGGATGGTAAGGACATCTCGAGCGAGAGCGCCATTCCTAAACTTTGGGGCCTCTGTGGCCAGGGCGTCTCGGAGTACACTGCCAGGAAGTATCGAGTGGACGTGGTTGTCATCGTAGTTGCGCCTTCGCCAACTTGACTGAATGGCGAGGAAGTTTCGGCCGCGCTCGAGCCAGAGTGCCCAGGACTGCTCCCATTGATTAGACATGTTGTAATCATGTTCTGCGAGCAAGCATCTTACAGCAGCAACAGCAACCACCACAACCGCTACAACACGAAAAAACACCAAACCGAACCAAAATAACAAACAGCACCAGCCGCTTGATGATTGGTCGCTCTCCCATGCTCACGTGGCATTCAACATGTCTCTCCCAAGCCCTCGATACCCGCCCTCATCGCTTTTGATTGTACACCCCCTTCAGGGGGGTATATCTCCCTTTCCTGCCACGTGAAATCGGCGCAGCCGCTAAAACATGAATAACAGAAGTAATGGGAAAGGGAAGAGCGAAGATGGAGGGAGTGGAGGAAGGGAGGGAGGAGGAAAGGGGGCAAGATGGAGAGAGGGGGAGGATGGAGAACGAGATGGATTAGCAAGAGGGATTAGTAAGATGGGGGCAAGGAGGTCTCAGGCGAGAGCGCACTCCCTGAGTAAATGTTTGAGGCAGTCCCGAGCGAAAGCGGGGTTCCATAGCGCCGAGAGAGCACCGCTGGCGAGGAAGGCGGCAGTGAACACGCGTTCCGCAGTGCGCGGGCCGAGGTCTCCCGAAGAAACGCCCGTGGTGGCTTGCTCCCACGCGTCGTCTGGTAGCTCGCCGGTGCCGACGTTCTCCACCGCGGCACGCAGGTCCCAGTCGAAGGTGGCGAGCCGGTTGTGATCGATCCTGTCGCCATCGAGGCGCAGTTGGTCGGAGAGCTCCAGCACGTCGTCGGCGCACAAGCGGGTCAGGGCGAGTTCCGTGGAGGCGTGGCTGACGCTGAGGAGCCCGAGGCGAGCGGCCCGGGCTTTCTCCACGACCGCTTCAGTGCGGGCGTAAGGCCGCGCGGGTCGAGGTCAGCTGCAGGTGGCGCGCACGGAGTCGGTGCCCCAGCCAGCGTAGGGGTGGCGCTGCTCTGGGTGGCAGAGCAAGCTTCCAGAGCTCTAGGCCGTGCGAGCGGCGAGCCGCGCGTGTTGTGGACGACGATCAATGGAGAGGAGGCATGTCGCCAAAGAACTCCCAGAGGTCTACAGCATGCTTCAAGCATGTCCTTAAAGTGCCCGACATGTTTTGAGCAAATTTCGAACGTGCTTTAAACATGTTGAAGCCAACGATACAGTGGGGGCGCGCATCAAGAAACCATGTACTTTTCGTCAGGTATCCTGGGTTTCTTCGCTCCGCGCGTTGCGCGGCGACTTCCCGCGGCCGTTGAAGGAGCTGCTGCGTTCAGGGTGCTCCAGGTTTCCCCTCCGGTGCACTTCGCGCGCAGGTTTTCACGGTTGGGTTTCTTGCGAGGGTTTCTTGTGACCGCGCCCGCACTGTAGAACGGTTAGAGTTTCCATTGTCGTGGCATCCGCAACGCGCGCGCCGCCGAAGCGAGCGGGGCTGGCGTCGCCCGCGGAATCAGCGGCTTCTCCGCGTCGGCGTCGCTGGGCCTGGCTGGCAGGGGCCCGCTGCTGCTCGGGGCGGACCGGCAGGGCGGCGGAGTCCCCGACTCCCAGAGACCCAGGCGCCAGGGGACCTCCTCCTCCTCCTCGTTTTCTTCGTCCTCCTCCTCCTCCTCCTCCTCCTCCTCCTCCTCCTCCTCCTCCTCCTCCTCCTCCTCCTCCTCCTCCTCTTGGGCAGGCGGCCCCTTCGGGCATGGGCCCGAGCAGGAACCCGGAGCGCGCTTTCTCCAGCTGCGACCACTCGGGGGCACCGTCGGCGCCGCGGCTCCAGAGCATGCCCGGTGCCGCGGAGGAGGCGGGAGCGGCAGCTGAGGCCGGCGGCGAGCTCGGGGGCGGCAAAGAGGGGGGTGATGATTGGGGGGGGGGAGATTATGGCGTGGGCCATGATATTTCTTCAGGTTTCATGGCGCCCCTTCTTGTTTCATTACGTCCCTGGTCCCCCCCCCCAGGGCCACGCACGCGCCGCCAGCCATGATTTGCACCCCCCCCTTCTTGGACGCCCCCCTCTTGGCCGCTCCCGACGAGCGAGGGGGGAAAGAGAGAAGGAGAAGGCTTTTTCAGGTTCCGATGTTCCAACGCACTTCAGTCTTGATCGCGAGAAAGCATTCCGAACCCCCACAAGACAAGCACCCAAGCTCAATGGTTTTCACGTGTCGGGCCCTGGGAGACTCGTCCGATATTGTTTCGACACTTTACGTACGACGGGAACAACACAATCATCAGGGCTCATTTCGACTCCCCCGATTCGATTCGACTTCGATTGCGATGGCTTCCGGTTCCGATACGATTCGAGTTCGGGCTCCGATGCTGGATTCCGAATTCTAAGCGGAGGCCCGTTTAGCCTTCCGATTTCCGCCGATTCGACTTTTCACGACTCGACTGCCGATTTCCGCAGATCCGTTTCATTTCGATCGCCGATCCGACTATCGATTCGATTCTGGGCTCTCCTGCCGTCTCAGAAGGCGGCGGGACTTCTCAGAAACCCCACGGCCTTCTGAGAAGTCTTCTGCGTCGTCGGGGAAGGCTTTTCTTTTCAGCAGGCCGTGGGGCTTCCGAGCCTTCTGGGCCCCCTCTGACCCTCCCCCCCTCACTCGCCGCCGATGAGGGGCACTTTTTGCGCCGGCGGCGAGGTAGGGGAAGGCTGCGCTAGTGGGAAGACCCACACGGGGATGCCGTCGTGGCGACTTGAGGTTTTCCACCGCCGACCACCCCCTGCAAACCACACCCTCCGGAGTCGCCGAGCTGCTGCAGCGAGGGGCCAGCAGGGGCCGAGAGCGAGGCGCCCGCGCCGCGTCGCGGGCGGTGGGCCGCCGCGCGCGGCTGCGGCCACCGCAGGAAACGAGCGGCACGAAGGCAGGGGTTCAAGGGAGGAAACACCTCCCGGACCGAACCATCGTCGTGAACTAAACGGCCCGGGGCGTCTACCAGACAGCCCTGCAGTGCTGGATTCCTTCCCTGGGCGCGGCCGAAAGCGGGGGCGGGCGAGGCGCCGAGGAGGGGCACGTGCGCACACGTGCCGTGGCTCGGGGCCCGGGCGCGGCGGCGCCGTGGCGGCCCTGCGCGTGGGGTGGCCGGCGTCGGGGGGGCGGGAGGGCGTCGGCGGCGGGCAGCGGGCGCACCTGCGCTGGCCAGGTGGCCCGAGGCCGCCGCAGGTGGAGTCGGCGCAGGCGCTGCGCCCGAGGGCGACGGCCGTGTCCCGGATGTCGGCGTCCATGGACGCTGCGCTGGAGGGCGATCCCTGGTTGGGGGTTGGAGCGCAGGCTTCTCGGCGGATTGCACTCTGCGAGGGCTGTGACTCTGCGACGGCGGAGCATACACAGATAAGGCTCCCCGCTCTCCCCTCCGCTGCTCTGACGCGCGAGCGCGCGGGCCGCCCGGCGGCTATCGTGTTGGGTACCGGGCGGGACCACCAATCTCACCAGTCCACAGATGAGGAGGGGGAGGAGGAGGAGGAGGAGGAGGAGGCGGAGGCGGAGGAGGAGGAGGCGGAGGCGGAGGAGGAGGAGAAGGAGGAGAGGGAGGAGGAGGAGGAGGAGGAGGAGGAGGGGGGGGAGGGGGAGGGGGAGCATGTTTGCGCGGCGCAGCTGTGCCTACTGCTTGGAGCTGCCGCAGAGCTCGGGTGCCTTACCCTCGGATAAAATCCGTCGCACCGTGCTCGGGAACGCCTTGCACGCTCGAGATTGCCTCACAAGGTGCTCGGGGATGTCCTCTTTGATTCAAGCGGCTTGCGTGGGTGCTTTCGAATACCCACTCGGACTCAACCGCCAACTCCTGGTCCCCTCTCAGACTCTCAGGGTGTTTCGATCCGACCGATCCGATTCGATAACGGTTCTGGTCAACCCGATCCGCTTCGATTCCGATATTCAGCGATCCGATGCGGCCCGATGTTTGCATGGCGCTATTGGGCATCCTGGCGTGGCCGATCCGATTCGATTTCGACTCCGTGCCGATGCAGTCCGATTCGACGCACATTCCGATTCGATCCGATGTCCCGAGTCGATGCCAGCAGATATTGCCTCTTGCAGAGCCCACCGCGTGGCACCCCCACCCGATGCACACGGGAAGGCAGTCCCGGCCCGAGACGGGCGGGGGCGACGATCAGGGCAGAGGTGTCCTGTCAAGAGCGGGGGGTCGGCGTCACCCCAACATATTGATCCCATGTTTTCGTCGCTTCCCTCAGGGGCGACGCGCGCAATGAGAAATCTTGTAGTACATGCGTCGTGGCGGGCGCTTTCTGGCCACACCGCTTGGGAAGCGATATGCTACACGATGGGTATACTATATGCTCGGATCGAACCGTCTCCAAAGAGGACACATAATAGTATGTTTCTGTGCACCCGGGGGGGAGCCGAGAATCTGACAACCACATTTCGGATGTGATGTTTAATGTAAGCCGGCTACTCAGGTGCTACTTGATGTTGGTACGTGTATCGTTCTGAATTTGTTGAGTTGTGCAGATTAGGTTATCCAGTACAGAATGCTTCACAATTTTACGCCTTGGTCTGCGTCATGCGTTTTGGCATTGCCTCCAAATGCTCAGAGGCATGTATGCCAATTGTTTCGACTATCTGTCGTCGTTGCCTCATCGCGTCAGTGACACAGGAAAATGAGCGTGGTGGCCAGTTACATGCGCGCACACTCACGCACTAGCGGAACTCGCTCGAGAAGTCGTTCCTTCATTGGCTTGGCGAAGGACAGTTGCACTTTTTTCTCAACGTTGAGGAGTGTCATTAGAGAGCGCTACTCGCATTGCTGCTCACTTCTCGGTATGACCATTTTGTTTGCTACAGGAAACAGAGGTTCTTCCTTACCGGCAGAGCAATAGTTTCTCTGTGTGTTAGGTTCGTCGATGGCAGTAGCGCCCCTAGTTCGTTCAATGCAGCTCGTGTTCGTTATTGGTTAAGCCCGTCACGATCCACGCGTTTGTCCGCTTGAACATACGGAGTGTGACAACTTCAAGATGTAGTCGTGATATGATGTTCGTAGCCATTTTGGCCCAACGGGAAGCCAGCGCGAGCGAGGTGTCCGCCCGTCATCCTCGACCGACGGAAGAGTCTGAGCCCCCGCCGCGATGTCCGCTGCCAAGAAAGCGTCGAGGGCGTCCAAAGCCGCGGACTCCATCAACAGCCGTATCCAGTTGGTGATGAAGAGCGGCAAGTACAGCCTGGGTTATCCCAGTGCTTGCGGCAAGTTCCGCCACTGTACCACGGGACAGGAGGTTTGGGAGGCGGGAGGGGAAGGGGCGGTGCACGCGAGTAGGTGTGAGGAAGGGATCGTGGGCGTGCTGAGAGTTCTTTCATCATAATCCTCGCCAGACATCATATGGCATGGCGGACAGAGCGAGGTACGAGTGATGACGTTATGGTGGGGCAAAGTCCTCTAGGGAGGGGCTCCAGCGGAGGGGGAAGCGCGACTTGGCGGGCGTAACACGCCCCCTCCGCTCCCCACAAGGCGGCCCAAGAGTCCCCCCAAAACGGCCAAGAGGTCCCCAAGACGGCCCAACAGATGTCCAAGACGGCTCTGAGACGGCCAATGAGCGCCCCAGGAGAGCCCAAGACCGCCCAGGAGCGTTCGAAGATGGCTTCAGATAGCTTCAAAACGGTTCGAGAGCGCCCCAAGACGGCGCGAACCCCTCTTAGAAGGACCCCCAAGAGGGCTTGAAGAGGCCAAAATTGTCTATAGGTTGTTAAAGGTTTTTAAGGCTCTCGCTTTTTCGGGCGTTCAACGGCCCAAGACGGCCAGAGAGCCCCCAAAGATCGCCCGAAGACGGCCCAGGAGACCCCCGAAGAGGGCCCAAGAGAGTTTTAAGAGGGCCCAAAAACGACCCAGGAGGGCCCCAAGAAGCTCCCAAACGAGCCCCATTAGGGCCCCAGGAGGCTCCCGAGAGGCCCCTAAGAGGGATCCAAGACGGCCAGGGTCCCCCAAGACTGCCCAAAAGGGCCCAAAACAGCCCAAAACGACCCCGAGAGGACCCCCAAGGAGGCCCGGAGAGGCCAAATTCCGAGTGACGGACACAGCCTTAATGCCAAGGCTCACACGAGTTCCAGGTGGCGGCAGCACAAAGGTCTAGGCGAATCGGTGGCGTAATTAGTTTCGAACGCTAAGGCTCCCAATAGCTCACGATGACGCGGAAAGCCCTGAACGCTAATGCGCCCAGTGCGAACGATGACGTGAAGAGCTCTGAACGCCAAGGCTCACTGTACGAAGCGTACCCTGAACCCTCTCGGGTAAGCTCCTGAAGCGTTATTTCGGTTCCCGTGCGGGCCCAGACGACGGAAAGAGCGAGGCACGAGTGGTTACGTGATGGTGGGGCAAAGCCTTCTCGGGAGGGGTGACGGAAAGAGCGAGGTATGATTGATGACATTATGGTGGGGCAAAGCCGTCTTGGGAGGGGTGACAGAAAGAGCGAGGTACGGTAGGTTCGCGTCGTGTCGACCGTCGACCAGCGGCGACCTCGGCGCGGGTGTTCAGGGTTGAACGCCGCCCGTGGCCTAGAATCGGCCCATATTTTCAGGATCCGGCGTGTTTCAAGCAGCCGATCGTTTCAAGTTTGAACAATCAACGCTGGGGTCGACACGACGCGAGCTTGCCGTGCGAGTGATGATGTCGAGCTGGGGAGAGGCCCTCCAGGTAGGGCTCCAGGGGAGGGGCGCATGGGGGCGCCAACTGGGCGCAACACATCCTCCCGGCCCCAAGACAGCCTAAGAAGAGGAGCCCAAGAGGGCCTCAGAGACCCCCAAGCTTTGGAGGCGGCCACGAGGGGGGTGATGGCTTGGGGGGAGGGGGATCTCATAGCGGAGACCACGACATCTCCCAGGACTTCATGGCGCCTCGTCTGATTTCAATACGTCCCCGGGCCGCTGTCGGAGGAGCGCCCGGGAGGGCCGCGGAGGCGCCAGAGCGGCCGCCGGAGCGGCCAGGGGCTCGCACAGCCCGGCGGGGAGCGCTGGGGTCACCCACATTGGGGGCGGCAAAGAGGGGGGTGATGACTGGGGCTATGATGCTCCAACCTACTCCAGCCTCCTTTAGCCTATACTTACTTTAGCAAAGAGGGGGGTGATGACTTGGGGTTCGGTTAGGCCCCCTGTAGAGGGACAGGCCCGACGTCAGTCTAGAAGGGAGATCCTGGGAACACTGGTATCCAGCGCCTGCTGGAACCACCGGAAGTTCTCATCCATCGCGCGCGTCGCAGCGGCTGCGAGTCGGCACGCCGCCTCGGCCAATGGGGCGGCAATGGGGATGTCCAGAACGGCGCCCTTGGTTTATGATGTTCCAACCTACTTTAGCCTTGGTCACCAGAACGAATCTCGAGCGCCAGGAAAAAGTGCTGGAACTCTGGGGTGTTCACGTGTCGGGCCCTGGGAGACACTCGCCCGACACTGCTCCGACACTGTTTCGACACTCTTTTGACACTTTTCCGGGTGCTCGAAATTATTTCTGGGATGCGGTCCGTAAGTAGGATGGGAAGAACATAAGATTTGGGGGGATATCATGGCGGGGGCCATGATATCTCCCCTGATTTCATGGCGCCTCGTGTTGTTTCAATGCGTTCCCGCACCCCCCTTGGGCCGAGCACATGCCGCTGGCCAGGATTTGCCCCCCCCTCCCCTACTGGACGCCTCCCTCTTGGACGCCCCCGAAAAATACCCCCGAGAGAGGTTCAAGAGGGTCCCAAGATTGCCCAAGAGCGCTCCAAGAGAGCCCAAGTCCGCCCAAGAGCGTTCGAAGATGACCGCAGATGGCCTCACGACGGCTTCAGAGGGCCCCAAGACGGTCCAAGAGGCCCTCGAGAGGACCCACGAGAGGGCTTGAGGATGCTAAAACGATTTATGTTCCTTAGGTGTTTCAAGGTGTTTAGGCCAAGAATGGCACAAGACGGCCCACCAAGGGGCCTCAAAGATCGGCTCAGGAGGCTCCCAACAGGGCTTCAAGACGGCTCCAGAGAGCCGCAAGACGGCCCAAGAGGGCCCCGAGCGGGGCCCAGGGGGGCCCCAGAGGATCCCAGGAAAGCGCCCAGAGGGCCATGGCAGGCCGCAGGCCAAAGAGGACCCCGAGAGGGCCCAGAGACGGGCCAAGCTCCCAAAGACGGCCCAAGAGGCTCCCGAGACGGCCACGAGTCTCCCCAGAGGACCCCTCAGACAGCTCGAGGAGGCAAACCACATTGATTTTCAATAGGTGTTCCATTGTTGTTTGAGTGCTCGCCGTTTCGAGCCAAGATCGGCCGAAAACGGTTCCGATACCCCCGCGATTGCTTCAAGACGGCCCCAAAGGCCCCCAAGAGGCTCCCAGGACGGCCACAGAGAACTCCAAGGGGGTGCCGAGAGAGCCTCATGGGGCCCATGTTGGGCTCGCCTGGGAGCCACCAAGGGCCTGCTTGGACAATCTGAAGGCCCTCTGGGGCCGCCTGGGGGTCGTCTTGGAGCGTCTTGGGCCCTCTTCGGAGCCTCTTGGGTCATCCTGGCACGATCTTGGGGGCGTTCTGGGCCGTCCTGGGTCGTCGGATGCCCGAAAAGGAAAGAGTCCTAAAAACTTGTCTAACAACATTGGTGAAATCAATGTGTTCGGCCTCCTCTGGCCGCCTCAGGGGTCCTCTTAGGAGGCTCGTGGGCCGTCGCTGGAGCCTCTTGGGTCGTCTTGAAGGGCTTGAGTCGGCTTGGGGCCCTCTTGGGTCCTCTTCGGGGCCTCCTGTGCCACTCTTGGGCTTTCCTAGGAGCCGAGGGCCCTCAGAGACCCCAAAGAGAGTCCCACGACGGCCAAAGTCTTCCAAGACGCCCCAAGAGTGTCGAACAGGGGCCCAAGAGGACCCCCAATTAAGGCCCGGCAGACGCCAAATAGCAGAGACCCCCCAGAGCTCGCATTGACGTCACAAGTTCATCGTAACACCAGGGCTCCCAAGAGCAAGCGGTGACCAAAACAACTCTTAACACCAAGGCTCCCCAGAGCGAGCAGTGGCGTAACAAGCTCTGAACACCAAGACCCCCCAAGAGCCCATAGTGACGGGGCACATTCTCGATTAACACCAAGGTTCCCATTAGCGAACGGTGCATTTGAAAGATAAGACCAACAATATTCAGATGAGCGAGCAGTGACGTGACTTGTTCGGAACACCATAGATCCCGAAAGTTCATGGTAACGTGATACGTTTTTAACACCCATGCTCAGAATAGCGAGCGGTGGCATGAAAAGCTCTGTACACCAAGGCTCCCAGGAGCTCGCAGTGACTCAGTGACTCAACAAACTCTCCACACAAAGGTTCCCGAGGGCGAGCGGTAATCTGAAAAGCTCCGAACACCAAGGCTCCCAAGAGCGAACGGTGCCATGAGCCATCTCAGGCAAATTCCTGAAGCGCTCGTTCCGTTCCCGTGCCGGCCCAGGTTCCAGGGCAGGGGCGAAGCACGGACGCGACGGCGCAACACGCCCTCGCCCAAGATGGCTTTCGATATCCCAAAGACGGCCCCAAAGAGATCCTCGACGGCTCCAAGACGGCCCGAGAGCGCTGAGAGAGAGCCGAAGGCCGCCCAAGACCGTTCGAAGATTGTTTCGAAGAGCTTCAAGACGGGCCAACAGGCCCCAAGAAGACTCACAAGAGGGCTTCAGGAGGCCAAACACTTGTTGTTCCTATTGGTATTTGAAGATCTTTAGGTGTCTCGCCTTTTCGAGCTTCCGACGGCCTAAGACGACTCGCGAGACCGCAAAGATCACCCCAATACGGCCAAAGAGGCCCCCACGACGGCCCTAGAGGGCCTCAAGACGACCCAAGACGGCCCAAAAATTGCCCAAGACGGCTCCTGGAGGCTTCCCAGAGAGCCCCGAGAGGGCCCCAAGAGGCTCCCAAGAGGGCCCCAAGAGGCACACCACGGTTCAGAGCGAACGGTGACGTAGCAAGTTTTTGACGCCAAGCTTCCTAGGAGCGAACGGCCGTTAAGAGCGAACGGTGACGTGAAACAGCTCTTAACGCTCAGGTTCCCAAGAGCAAACGGTGCCATGAGCCCTCTCGGGCGAGTTCCTGAAGCGCTTTTTTCGCTCCCGTGTCGGTCTAGGTTCTCACACGCCCACATCGTGCAGGCACGGTGGCGGATAAGACCACGTTGAAGACCCTTCGGCAGGGCAAGGCAAAGCTCATCCTGATCAGCAGCAATTGCCCAGCACTCCGCAAGAGCGAGATCGAGTATTACGCCATGTTGGCTAAGACCGGTGTGCACCACTTCCACGGCGACAACAACGAGCTCGGCACTGCGTGCGGAAGGTACTACCGTGTAAGCTGCCTGTCTATTACCGATCCTGGCGACTCCGACATCATTCGCTCCTTGCCAGGCGGCGAGTGAGGTGGCGTTGTTGAGTATTCGGGTTTGCCATTGGTATCAAAGCAAGCACTGTGGTCCACGGTAATGCGGCGCGATACTCGCGGTGAGGAAAAACGTAAACATTAAGTTCGCGAGTTGTTGACTCATGTGTGCATTATTCGAAGAAGGGCTTCGCCCCTTGTTGCCGCCCCATCCTGCGAATTGCACGCGCGGTTGGGATTTGGTTGGTTGGTTGGGTGATCGGTAGCAGGTTGGCCACTCGGTGGTTGGCAGGCGGGCGTGCTGGCCGGTTCGGTGGCGAACTAGTTTGTTGGCCGTTTCAGGGCACCGATCCACGTTCTCTACATAGAATCGTAGACTCCGGAGCGTGGACCCATAGCCTGCTCCCTTGTAACACCCATCACGGTGGGCAGAAACAGGTTTGATCAATGTGATGATTTGCAGTGTCGCACTGTCTCCTCCTCTCGCACGCTGTCTCCGTTTGTCCTCCACCCTGCTTCTGTCCTTCCGTTGTCCTCTCCCCTCGTCCTCGCTCCTCCTCCTCCTCCTCCTCCTCCCTCCGTTGTCCTCTCCCCTTGTCCTCTCCCCTCGTCCTCTCCCCTCGTCCTCGCCCCTCGTCCGCCCCACGATGCAGGCCGATCCGATGCAAGCACCATTCCGATACGACTGCCCGGTTCGACGCCGACTGCTCTTGCCGCTTTGCCGCCCCGTGGGTCGTCCCGTCCACCCCCGCCGCTGCCCGCACCTTTCGGCCCAGCTGGCCCGTCGGCCAGGGGGGTGACGGCCGATGGCCGCCGAGGGTGACGCCCCCGGGGCCATAGCGCAGATCCTGGCGGACGCCCTCGTCGATGCTCCCGCGGACGACGAGGCCGACGAGGCCCGTCGCGCAGACGTTGCCACGAGGAAGACGGGTCCAGGAGTTTTGACCTCCCGGGGACCTCCACGGGCCTCGGGACCGTCAAGAAACGACGCAGGATAAAAAATTGGTCCTGGGGGAGAGCTCCGTCAAAAAATGATCGGGGATCAGTAGTTGGTCGATGCCCCCGCGGGCGACGAGGTCCGTCGCCCGCCCTGAGCTTCCAGGATGGCTTAGACATAGCATCAGGGTCCTTTCATTTGAACGATAGTCGAGATTTTGGAAGGCGTGTCTGGAGGGACCTATCTGAGCACTTTGGAAGGCTAGGGCAGACGGGAGGGAAGGCCTCCAGGCCAGAGCAGATGGGGTCGGAGGATCGCGCGCAGAGCGCGCCGGGGGCGGCGCTGGAGGCGCCGCCAGGGGTCAGTACCGTTTAACCGGCCCATGTCCCTATCCCCATCCCTATCCCGTCGCCGAGCCCCACCATCCCACCTCCGAAACCCAAGAGGAGACAGCCTGTATCCCCACCTGGTGGTAAGTCGGCCAGCTGGGCCCGGGCCACGCCCATGGGGACAGGGGGTCGCTGAAACGCTGCCCGAGGGGGGCCCAGCGCCGCTCCGGGAGAAGTCCGCGCGTGGGATCCAGAAGCTTTGCTCGTGCCGCCGAGGGCTCCTCCACAGACAGCCTGGCGAGGTTGGCCGACTTTAGCATGCGGCCCGCGGTCGCAAAGCGCACGCGGGTGCCGGACGGGTCGGTCCGGCCAGGGCCACGGGGGCGTCGAGACGGGGGTCAATGCAAACGGGGGACAGCCAGGGCACCGGATCCTGCAGGATCCTGCGAAGACCCCCCTGGCTGACCCGGGTCAGCGAGCCGCTCGTGGCCGCGAGGCGGCCGCGCCTATTGGTTGACCCGGGTTTGCGAAGACCTGCGCTGCAGTTTTTTTGTCCTGCAGTGCAGTTTTTTGGTTTCCTGCTGATCCGGGTCTGGATTGACCCGGGTCAGAAGATCCTTGAAGGGCCACGGGGGCGTCGGTCGAGCCAGCCCGGGGGGGGCGCCCGCGCGCCCCCCTTTGAGGGGCAGGCCCCTGTCGTGCGCTGCTTCGGCCACGCCTCCTGCCCAGGCTTACCTCGGGCCTGTCCCTCCTCGGGGGCGGCAAAGAGGCGGGTGATGACTAGGGGGGGGTGGATATCATGGCTTGGGCCATGAGATCTCCCCAGATTTCATGTCGCCTCTTCTTATTTCATTACGTCCCGCTGGGCCGCGCACATGCCGCCGGTCATGATTTGCACCCCCCCCTCTTGGACACCCCCCTCTTGGCCGCTCCCGACCTCCGCAGGGGGAAGCTTCAAAAATAGGCAAGCCATAGTCTGGGGACGCTGTCTTAACATGTCTCGATGTTTTGTCTGTTCTGTTTTTGTGCATTGTTGGTGTATGCTTTGATTTTGTCGTCACAAATCCGCCCGTAGGGGGACATGCCCGACCGAAGTCCAGGCGAATCGTGCAGACTTTCTGCGACGGTCCGTACACTCAATGTTTCAGATGCTGCTCGTTTTTCGTCGCGCGGCACTCTTGGCCAAGGCCCCTGCCGAACGAATAGGTGCGGCGTTCCAAAACGTCGGCTGCAGGAGCTCAGTTACGCGACGGTCCCCCCGCCGAATTCTGATCCTGCCAAGGCGATGTTTGAGCGCTCCGCGGGGGAACAAAAAAAAGGCAGGGGGCCTCCTCGGAAGGCGGGGCCGCCAGGCTCGGGTATAGCCAGGACCCCGGGGAAGAGGACCCGGTTGGTGGTGGAGCCCCGGAGCCCCCAAACTTGCCAGAATCACCAAACCAGGTCTGCCGTGACTGGTGTTTTTTTCGGGTGACGGCAGTTCCGGTTAGTGGAACGGGGCGGTGGAAGCGCCCCCCAGCACGCTGGAAGGTGGAGGGAGGAGGGGGGAGGGGAGAGGGGGGAGGGGGGAGGAGAGAGGAGGGAGGGAGGGGGGAGGGGGGAGGGGGGGAGGGGGGGAGGAGGGAGGAGAGAGGAGGGAGGAGGAGGGGGGAGGATACACCAGGGCCCACTATAGACCCAGTTCTGCCAGCGCCCGCCAGGCCCTCGGGGCGCCCGCTTCCCCCCTTCTGCGCGCCGCCGCCCCTTGAGGCGGACCGGGGCGCGGAGGAAGAGGGCGGCGGCGCTGCCCAGCAGGAGGCGCTCCACGGCGGCGGGCCCGAGCGGCGCGGGGCCGCGGAGAACCGCGAGATCTTCGGAGGGGCCCGCGGGAGCCTCGGGCTATGATGTTCCAACCTACTTTAGCCATGACCACGAGAAAGAATTTTGAGCCCCCCAAACAATACCGAAACTCTAGGGTTTTCACCGGTCGAGCCCCGGGAGACACTGTTTCGACACTCTTTTGACACTTTTCCGGGCGCTCGAAAAATGAATTCTGCGATGTGGTCTTTAAGTACAATGGGAGCAACATAAGCCTCGAGAGGGATCGGAGGTGGATAGACCTCCTACCCTGACACGTCGATGAAGGCATTGGCCGTTTTCGGTTCGCGAGAGGGCGGCGCGGCCGTCGTTGCTGCGGCTCCAGGCCCGTCGGTTTCGGTCCCAGGCCGTTTTCACTAAGGGGAGGTTTACTCAAGGGAGGTTTGTCCACCGCCGAGGAAGAGTGAGCAGCAGTACAGGGCTGAACCTGAAGGGTGTTTCTCGTTTTCGTTCTGTTCTTCTCGTGTTCCCTCGATTTGTCTTCAGTCCGCCTTTGCCGCAGAACGAGATCGAAACGAATAACGGCCCAGGAAATCCCCAATTCACCGTTTAATGGAGAATGACGATTAATAAATGACCGGGGGTCGTGTTCACGCGGCGGCGCCCGGGATGACGATTAGAAAAAACCAGCCGCGGGCTGGACAATTATTTCTGAAATCGTTCTCCTCCAGTCAGAAAATTATGCAGAAATCGCAGAAAACTAGTTGTTTAATCGTTCTCTCCCATGTTTTTATTAATCGTCATCCCGCATTAGGTCAACCCCTGCATCAGTAACTCTGTGTTTGCTCTGCGGCGAGCTGGGTCTCACGAGCGGTCGGGCCAGCGGCGGGCCGCGTCCGTTGCTGAGTGCTGGACGCCCTAACCCCACCAGTCCATGCAGGAACGATGCCCAGGCGAGTTGCCCTGATCAAGGATGTGAAATAACGGGCGTCGGAAACCATCATACCCCAAGAGGGGGATGATGTAGGAGGAATCGGAGGAGGGGAGGAGGAGGAGCAGGAGCAGGAGCAGGAGCAGGAGCAAGGGGAGGAGAGGAGGGGAGCACGGAGGAGGGAGGAGGGAGGAGGAGGAGGAGGAGGAGGAGGAAAACGCAGGTGAGGAGGAGCAGGAGGAGGAGCAGAAAGACCAGAGGCCTCTTGAATGCCTCTCGGAGTTTCTTCGGATTTCTCTTAGAGAGTTGTTTGAAGTCCTCTTGGCGCGTCTCTGGGGGGGGGGGGGCCTTTTTGGCGGGGAGCATCTTGGGAGTCTCTTGGGAGCGCCTAGGCGCCCTTTTGGGAGCCTCTTTGGGCCTCCTGGGCACCCGGGCCTTTTTGGAGCCAGCTTGAGGCCTCGGAGGAATGTCAATTGCGAAAAGGCGAGACGGTACAGACACTCATGTTTTTTTGTTTTTGCATTTGGAAGGGGATTTGCTTCTTGGTGGCTTCCCTGGGAGGCACCGTGGCCACTTGGAGCCATCGTGGGGCGGTCTTAGGGCCTCTTGGAGCATGTTGGAAGCTAGATTGAGCCATCTTGGAGGTCGTCCTCGGCGCTCTGAGGCCCTCTTGGGGCCATCTTGGGCCATCTTGGACGCTCCTATGGGTCGCGAGCCATTCCGTCCAGGTCCAGGGGGGTAGAGGTTGAGTCGGGTTGAGACTCAGAGAGCGCCCTCCCCTGCAGGACCACCACAAAGGGGACGTCAAGGGGGGGGCGTCGATGGGGAGCATCAAAGGGGGCGTCCAGGGAGTGCATGAAGGGAGGCGGTAACAGTGCGCGGTTAATGGGCGCAGAGTGGCTGCAATTGCTGACGCCCGTTTTTGGGTGTCTGCAGACATGACCTGACCCTCCTCCTTCTCCTCCTCCTCCTCCTCCTCCTCATCCGCGCTCGCATCCTCATACTATTCCTTCTCCTCTTCCTCCGTAGCCATTTTGGCTCAAGCCATTTTGGCTCAAGCCATTTTGGCTCAAGGTGTTTTGGGTTTGCTGTCGCCGGCTCTTCAGAACGGGCGGGCGACAGCGGCCCATGTTGGTTTCGTCTCCCATCAGCACGGCGCTGCGATGTCCTCCAAGTCGTCGCGCTGGACGGTCTCTCGGCAGAGTGTTGCTCGCTGGACTTGCGCGCAGTGTGACTGCAAACGTAACGAGTACTCGATGTTTGCCAATTTTCTGCTTCGGGGGCCCTCACCGGTGTCCAGGACCGTCAAGAAGCGGTCTAGAACGAGAAAGCAGTTTCGGAAAAATCACGCCAGGAGGTGTTGGCCACTGTTCTGCCTCTGGGGCGCCCGGATCGGGCCCCGGCCCGTCCAGACACGGCCCTTGGCGAGAAGCCCGACCTTTGAGGGCCCGTGCTGCGGAGAGATCGCGGCGTCGGAGCTCTGGGATGGCCAAGGGCGCCGCGGCGACGCGGCGGCGACCCCGGCGCAGGCGCGCAAAGCGGAGCGCCGCCGGCGGGCCTCGATCGGCCGGCGCCGAGCGATCCGAGCTGTCGTCACGCCGCGGTCGTGCGAGGCGGAGCGTGCCGCCCGGCGTCGGGAGCCGGCGCGCCCGTCGCCACGACGGACGGAGCCGGCGGGCGCAGAGATCCAGCGGGCGCAGAGCTCCAGCGGGCGCAGAACTCCAGCGGGCGCATAGCTCCAGCGGGCGCGGAGATCCAGCGGGCGCAGGCACGTGTGGGGGGGAGCTGCGCCGCGCCGCGCCGCTGCTGCCGCGCACCCGCGGAGCGACCCGCCGCGAGAGAAGCGCAGGTGGGCGTGAGCGGAGGCCGATCGGCGCGCGGCGGGGTCGCCGAAGCAGAGACCACGTTGGGCCCCGGAGAAGGAGGAGGAGGAGGAGGAGGAGGAGGAGGAGGAGGAGGAGGAGGAGGAGGAGGAGGAGGAGGAGGAGAGGAGGAGGAGGGAGGAGAGGAGGAGAGGAGGGAGGGAGGGAGGAGGAGGAGGAGGAGGAGGAGGAGGAGGAGGAGGAGGAGGAGGAGGAGGAGGAGGGAGGAGGAGGAGGAGGAGGAGGAGGGAGGAGGAGGAGGAGGAGGAGGAGGAAGGAGGAGGAGAGGAGGGGGAGGAGGGAGGAGGGAGGAGGAGGGAGGAGAGGGAGGAGGGAGGAGGGAGGAGGGAGGAGGAGGAGGGAGGAGGGAGGAGGGAGGAGGGAGGAGGGGAGGAGGGAGGAGGGAGGAGGAGGAGGAGGAGGAGGAGGAGGAGAGGAGGGAGGAGGAGGAGGAGGGAGGAGGAGGATGGAGGAGGAGGGAGGAGGGAGGAGGGAGGGAGGAGGGAGGAGGGAGGAGGGAGGAGGGAGGAGGAGGAGGAGGGAGGAGGAGGAATAAGGAGGGAGGAGGGAGGAGGGAGGAGGGAGGAGAGAGGAGGGAGGAGGGAGGAGGGAGGAGGAGGAGGAGGAGGAGGACGAGGACGAGGACGAGGACGAGGACGAGGAGGAGGAGGAGGGAGGAGGGAGGAGGGAGGGAAGGGAGGAGGGAGGGGAAGGAGGAGGGCCCGGGCTTCCCTTCGGAGCCCGCTCGGTGCCTGAGCCCACTCGGCCGCCGAAGGGATTCACGATCGAGCCCACTCGGCGGCCTCGTGGGCTCATGCAATTACAGTCAACCTGCATAGTGAGGATGGGCAACCTTCCCAAGGGTACCCTTGCATCCTCGCCTCCTCGGTCCATCCTTCGCCGCTTTCGCTGGCCGCGCCCCGCTCGAAAAGCTTCAAAATGGGCGTCCGAGGCCCTTGCATCCATATCGCGCATCCTTACTAGACTGGTTGACTGTATTCCCTCGGCCCTGTCGAAACTGAGCCCTTTCGAGTGCCCATCCAGCGGCCGAGCGGGCTCGGGTGCCCATCCAGCGGCCGAACGGGTGCAGAAGGGGACCGTGGACGGGGCCCCGCCTTCCCTCTCCCCAGGATCGAGGTCGGGGAACCAGCTTTCGCGGCCGAGGCTCGCCGTGGCCACAAAAGCAAACAATCCGCTGTTTTATGTGAAAAATGTGATGGTTTTCTTGTTCATTGTTTCGCCGATCGGCGCGGGACCTCGCACCCCGCCTTCCCCCCTCCTCTCTGGAGTAGATATTGGCCGTTTGGGGCGCCTGTTTCGAGCGGGTGGAGCCTCCCCCATGGGACGCGCTGCTGCAAAAAGTTGCACGGAGCAGAGGTCCGGAGCCAGACCCCCCCATCCCCGCCCTCTTCCGCCCAGTGTCGAAGCGCCGAAGAAGAAAACGTGAACAGTCAGCGCTCCCATTGGCAGCACGACAGTTCTGTAGGAGGTCCGCACTCGTCGGCGTTCTGGCCGTGATCGGGCGCCCACTCGGAGGAGGTGCTCCCGGGTGGTGCCTGCCCCCGGCCGCCCTCCAGCCTTTACGACAGACGAAGACCGGGGGTTCGCAGAGGGGGGTTATCCTTAAGTCGGGCCTGTCCCTCTCCAGGGGGAATGTTCAAAAATAGTCAAAACATAGTCAGGGGACGATTTTGTTTTTATGTGTGAGCACTTTTGGGGGGTATGTGTATTGTTCGTCCAAAATCCCCCTGTAGGGGGACAGGCCCGACCTAAGATTATCCCGAGGTGGGGTTCGGGAACGAACCTCGCTGGATGCTCACGCGTCCTCTTTCCAGGAGCCGGCTAGAGCAATTTTCCTCCCAACACCATTTCTGCCCCCACCCCACCTCTACGTCCCCCCGACAAGAGGGCGACGACGACACCGACATGACACGACGGCCGACGGGGCACCCGCAGCGACAGGAGGGGGAGGGAGAACGCAGGCAGGGAGGACGAGGAAGGAGCAGGAGGGAGGAGGAAAGCGGGCGCCAACGAATACCGAGACCGATAGCTAGGGCCACCACGAGGGTGCGAAGTTAGTCGCGCTTCGCGGTCTGGGTGATTTCAGAGCGAGGCGCGAGTCCCTCATCGTGTTCCAGGGTGGGGCGGCGCGACAGCGCTAAGATAATCGTGTTTCGCGGAACGCGAAGCGCGAATGTGCTTGCCCTAGTAAAGCGGGCGCCAACGAATGTCGAGACCGATAAATTAGCATCCGCTCTTCGCCTTGTTCACATGCACGCGTGCCCCTGTCGCCATCCAGTCATCCAGCCTCTGGGACTGGCGTCACTCATGGACAAAACCATGCAGCTGGCACGAGGGTTCAGACCAACCCCAGCTTTCCAGTCCTCTCTTGTGTTCTTCGCGCTTGGGCTCTCCTCGCCTGTACCGTCCTTCGTGCACGAAGTGATACGACGTTGCCCAATGTACATCGGAAGGATCGACGACGGCGACGGCGGGGTGGGCGCCAGGCGAGAACAGGCGTCGCGTCGCCGCCAGCGTGCTGGCCAGCATTCCTGGCTTCTCGTGCGTGACCATGTCGACGATTCTGCTGATCTCGGCCTTCGCTCTGTGGGTCTACCACGACGCCCGCGCCGCCCCGCCCCGCCCCGCCACCCCCCCCCTCCCCTCCCCCTCCCTCCAGCTCGGCATCGCCCGGACGTTTTTGTTTGTTTTTCTTCCCGGCGAGGGCCATCGAGGAGCATCCAGGATCACCCAGGCAAACGAGCGCACGCACGGCACCGAAACGCGCACGGGGGACGGATGTCCAAGCGGTGGCGCGCCGGGCCTGAATTCTGCTATGGAAAGCGTGAGGCTTCCACTCCAAGAATCAATGGACGTCCTGGGTTAAATTGCTCCCATCGTACTTAAGCACCACATCCCAGAAATAATTTCGAGCATCCCGAAGAGTGTCGAAACAGTGACAAAACAGTGTCGGACGAGTGTCTCCCAGGGCCCGACACGTGAACACCTTCGAGTTTCGATATTGTTCTGCTGCTCCAGAATTCGTTCTGGTGATCAAGGCTAATGTAGGTTGGAACATCATAAGTCCTGGGGTCTCAGGGTTGGGTTTCGTGTGGGAGGTTTCTTGTGGTCGAACTCCTGCGGTAGCTCACGACGCTTGCTTGAGTGGTCAAGCACGTCGGATGTCGAGCCTCGTCTCTCGCAATCACTGCTTGATCGAAAGGTTCCTGCGCTACTGGCCAGGGTAATTCGTGCGCGAGCCGCCGCTGCCATGGCGCAGTGGGCCCCACGGGAGGTGGGTTGCTTCCCTTCGCCCCTCCACGGACCCGGGCACCGGAGCCAATGAATTTATCGAGCCCGTTGAAGTTTCCGACACGAATGACGTAATTTACTTCGATGGAGCAGGAGGATTTTTCAGGGAGCATGGGCCGACCTGACAACCGACACGGGAACCATACCATACCCATGTCTCAAGGGAGGAAAAACCACCCGGACCGGACAATCGGCGTTTACCCAACGGCCTTGGGCGTTAACCAAAAGCCTTGCCCTGTTCGATTCCTTCACTGGGTGCGTTTACTAAACGGCCTCGCTTGTCGGGGTGGTTACAGTCAACCCGCATAGTAAGAATGGGCGATCTTCCCAAGGCTACCCTCACATCCTTGCCTCCTCGGGCCATCCTTGGCCACTTTCGTTGGCCGCGCCTCGCTCGAATGGCTTCGAAATGGGCGTCCGAGGCCCTTGCATCCTTATCGCGCATCCTTGCTACACTGGTTGACTTCATTACGGGGGTGGATTTGTTTGCCTTCTAACTTCAAAGTCTGCATGGAGTGGGCCAGGTATGGAAGCAGCCCGCAGTCCAACCGGGCGCGGAGGGCGTGGCCACTGGGCGCCGAGGAGCAGAGCGCGTGTTCCCCCGCGCGCACTGCGCATGCAGGTTAGCGACCAAAGAGTCGAGCCTGCACAATATCCCGTAGGCAGATGTAAGCCCAGACCCCCTTCGGGTGATGAAAAAATAATAACGAGAGGTTTTTTTGGGGGGGGGGCCTCCCGGGGAATGGGTCCGGACCTCTGGTGTGACGTCGGGGGTCTGGGAGAGAAGAAGAGGGTCGCGAGTCTTTTTCCAGGGTGCTGCGATAGAGGCAGCGCGGTATGTTATGCCAATACTTTGAGCCGATACGTCAGCGGTGGATGAGGATAGAATAGTGATAGGAGCCGATTTCACACACGCGCACTGCGCATGTTGCACAACGTGCATTTGCCATATGGGACTGGCATGGTGGTGCGCACACGGTGAGATATCGGGCTTCGCCCTCCGCTCTGCTGCCTCCCGCCCCACCTTGCGAGGTAGGAATGGGCAGGGATTCGAGACGACGCAGGGGTGCGTTGCGCACAGGCTTCTGTGTG